TAACGATATGTTTATTATAGGACTTACAGCATACGGTACGGTAGTGGATACTAACGATATGTTTATTATAGGACTTACAGCAAAAGTACGGTAGTGGATACTAACGATATGTTTATTATAGGACTTACAGAATACGGAACGGTAGTTGGATAATAACGATATGTTTATTACAGGACTTACAGCATACGGTACGGCAGTGGATAATAACGATATGTTTATTTTAGGACTTAAAGCATACGGAACGATAGTTGGATAATAACGATATGTTTATTATAGGACTTAAAGCATACGGTATGGTAGTGGATAATAACGATATGTTTATTACAGGACTTACAGCATACGGTACGGTAGTGGAGCATTAGCGACTGGTTACAGTGTCAGTGTTACTTCTACCAAGCTGGTAAGTGTCCTTTATCATTGTTTATACTGATACAAAAGGTATTTTATATTATGAAATAGTCCTAATGTGGCGTGACAACAATTTTATAGTAAATAAGACCGATAGTGATCGCGTTAGTGAATGACATATCAAATTAGTGGTTTTGAAACGAACAATTTGATTTGGCGATGAAAATAGATAACTTTTAAAAATATGTTTTCGTTTGCCTAGTAGTATTTATTTAGCTTGACATATAAATGTATGTTTTCGAGTTTCATACTGACAAGCCAGATGTGGATGACGCCATAAAGACAAGGACAAAACTATAACATCAACTATCACCTAATGAAATGAAGGTTACCGATTGGTGTTGGGGTTTTTTTCTCGTTAGACACAGGGAGTGCGTCATGCTATCATCTTATTGGATACAGCAGGCCAAACTTGATTTATAATTAATAAAATATGTAGCGGTGAAATAATTTTACTTGGCAGCATGAAAACTATGGTGTTGGCTCTGGAGGATTCCCGAACGATATTGCAATAATGAAGGTACAAGCAATGAACTTTAACGGGAACGCACAGCCAATCAGTTTGACACAGCGTTCTAACAACGACCTAGCAGAAGGAGCATTGTGTAGGATTACCGGCTGGGGTAACACTAACGGCGGTAGTAAGTACACCTCCAAAAATCAATTAAATTAAATAATTTGGTTCAATATTTCGGCAAAATTCAAGGTCATCATTAACATATTAGGATGGTAAAATCATTCTTAAAAACTGAACGAAAGAATTTTAATACAAAGCAATTATGTCCGTTAATTTAAAGCTATATCACTGTGTTAATACGTGATTCTATGATGTCAATTTTTTCTGTATACTTTGTATTTAATATCATAGCTAGCAGTATTCCGGACAATCTGCAGGAGGCCGAAATGAGCGTTATAACTGACTCGGCGTGCGAGGGACAATGGGGGAGCAACATATGCCGATCTTGTCACGTTTGTGTCTACGGCGACGGAGAGCGCAGTGCATGTAACGTAAGCGAATAGCTATAGGTTAATGTAATGTAAGTAGTTAATTGTGTGGTTATATATTAGTGTAATGTAATGTAAGTGGTTAATTGTGTGGCTATATATTAATTAATGTAAATGGTTAAGTGTGTGACTATATATTAGTGTAATGTTATGTAAGTGGTTAATTGTGTGGCTATATATTAATGTAATGTAAGTGGTTAATTGTGTGACTATATATTAGTGTAATGTAATGTAAGTGGTTGACTGTGTGGCTATATATTAGTGTAATGTAATGTAAATGGTTAAGTGTGTGACTATATATTAGTATAATGTAATGTAAGTAGTTGACTGTGTGGCTATACATTAGTTATTGTAATGTAAGTGGTAAATTTTGTGGGTATATATTAGTGGAATGTGATGTCAGTCAAAATAGCGGTTCATTGGTTGACGTGAATTCAGTTACACGTAACATATAGGGATGTTAAGTGATATTATCGTAAGTATTAATCGATGATCATGAAGTACAAAGGTATGATTACCTCATTGATAGAAAAAATACATTTTAACTAAATTATAAAATCATCGGTACTACCTTTACAGTTTAATATCTTCGAGTGAAAATACAAAATACATGTACATAAGACAATCGGTTTATTACACGATGTGCGTTGTGCAAATTATGTGTGCATGGTGTGCAGACGATGTGCGAACGAAGAAAAAACTTCGAATATAACTATAGTTCAGTATATTTAATTATTGCTCGATAAGAATCGTGGTATAAAAATATTTTGGAATGGTTTGTGAAGAAATACGATTTCGCATTAAAAACATTCATATTTCCTAACTTTAAAATTGTTGCGTGAGTCAGTTAGATTAATATGGAAACAGTAATGATCATATATATTACCAAAGCTATTTTGAAAGACACTTAATCGACTCTTCGGTACATATACAAGGATATTATTTTATCTAGTCATCCGTTGTTCCTTTGAAATTTCAACAGAAAGCGTAACAGTCACAATTATCACAGGGAATGTCCATGGTGGTATTCTGTGTCTGAAAGTACAAACCGATTATTGGCAGGTTTATATGTGTACCATGCTACGGAATAACGTATTTGCTGTATTGTTGTTGTTGCAGGGAGACAGCGGAGGACCTTTAGTCTGTAAAAATAATGCAAGCGACCAGTGGGAACTAGTCGGAGTGACGTCATGGGGTGCTACCAACTGTCCACCAGGATATCCATCTGTATATACAGAGGTCCGATCCTACGCCGACTGGATCAACACCAACAAGTGATATGTTCGTGTTGGCCAGCCTTTACTCAACTTTATGTAATTTTATTCAAGACCAATAAAATATCTGATGGCAATTTTTTTTTTTTTTTTTATAATTACTGGATGGAACTAGAGCCAATTAGATCTCTCAAATATTACGTAAATTTGCCTTCTTATCAATTATTTCTTGCACTTTCCGTAGACTTTTTCGACAGTCCTTTTTAACAAATCAGCACTCTAGACATATTTCTTGGATATATGAATATAAACAGAAATTGGTTGAACTAAAGCGTCCTTTCCGAATTGAAGGTGGTTTTCTTTTTGACTCAATCGTCAGTCTAAACATCAAAAATGAAATTCATTTGTTACATGTTTACACTACTAGTGTAGGCAATCGAGCTTCATATTTAATAACAAAAAATACGAAGAGATATGGGGTATCGACGATATAATATAAGGCTCCGACCTCGCCCCCTATAAATCTTACTGACTCTCTATGGTTCTGAGGGTCAGTAACTGACTATATAACGAATTTATCGCATCGAGGACCTTTTTTGTTTTTTTGTTTTAGCAGATTGACTGTTAAGTCGCTTCGTGTTAATCTCTCCATTGTTGTTGACTGTCAATGTCGCCGAACCGCTTAGATAAGGGAACGGCACCCACGCTAAAACAAAAGACGGTCGCTGGCGACAACGTCTTACTATTTTCCCCTGGCGTAGGGGAGGCAACTCCTATCATCTTACGATACAATGTAGCGAATATTCAGGTACCCGTATCTGTTGTTTTAGTTTTGAAGCGGTGAGCAATGGGCGGCCATATTGCCCTATAATGGAATCCTACTGACCCTCTATAGAAAATGAGAGGGTCACCACGTGACAGCTCTAAACCAATGGTTTTTGGACATTTTTGTCCGAGGTCCGATAATCGGTTTTATAGATACTTCGAATGTTAAAGAAATTTAAGGTATAAAAAAGGTATCTTTTACATGGATCTCTCTAATTGAAATGGAGATATGTGTTTTATTAGTTTTAGAGTGATTGCTATCGGTTGATCGGAATCAAACAAGGAGTCATTTGACGTAAGGTAAGGTCACTGGGTCAATATCGAGGTCAAATATTGTGTCTTTTTACTGATGAACAATTTTTTATGTTATTATGAAGCAAAGTTGTTCAGAACTTAACACGGAGCCAACTGTCCTAAGGTCCATGTTACGGGGTCCAAAGGTTCAAAGTCAAGTTGTTGTTTTTCTCTGATGAACATTTCATGATATTATGAAGCAAGTTGGTCGGAATTAAAGAATAAGTCAAATGACCAAAGATCAGGGTCACTGGATTAAAGGTCAAGGTCATTTGGGTCCAAAGGTCAAAGACAAAGTGGATCTCTGACTTTGACACTGGCTCTTGATTGAGGAGGTATTACAGGTGAAATAAAACAATTCAAAGCTAACAAATGAGTATTGCACTGGTATTTACATTTATGTTAGCCCAGCAAATATGGAGCTGGAAGGAAACAAGACTCACATCATAGTACATGTAAAATGTATTTTTTGCTTCCTTGCGATTCTTTTTGAAGTCCAAATGTCAGACGTCAAGCTCAGCTACATGTATATGGGCAGATTGCTTCTTGATGATTATGGGGGATATATTTTTTAACAAATCAAATTTACAACTGCTATACAATGGAAATCGAACAGGTAAATGTAACCAAACTTTATAAACCTCAAAAAAGAGCAGCAAGGGTTCTCTTGAACTGTTTGTAATACTCCATCCAGATACATGTAAAAGACGTTAAACTGCCTACCTTTTGCACAATATCTTAACCATTTTAAATACACTACGCCCATCAATATTTACCAGATCTTTGTCTATTAACATGTTTTACCTACATGTACCTTCATTTAAAACAAAACAAAATATTTACAAAAATTTTACCTTCCAGGCACCATATACATGGAATATTTTACCTGCCAGGCACCATTTACATGGAATATTTTACCTGTCAGGCACCATATACATGGAAGATTTTACCTGTCAGGCACCATATAAATAGAATATTTTACCTGCAAGGCACCATATACATGGAAGATTTTACCTGCCAAGCACCATGTACATGGAATATTTTACATGCCAGGCACCATATACATGGAATATTTTACCTGTCAGGCACTTTATACATGGAATATTTTACCTGCCAGGCACCATATACATGGAATATTTTACCTGCCAGACACCATATACATGGAATATTTTACCTGCCAGGCACCATATACAATATTTTACCTGAACATGTTAGAAATGCACCCTTCCTATTGTTTTTTAAGCAGATTACAACGACGTTTTTATGGACTTTAAGTACTGTAGGATACAACAAATGGATAATAGAGTGTTTTCATAATTAATAATATACATATATAAGAACTCACCAAAATGCGCATACAATGAAGACATTTTGGAAAATAATTATGATATATTTGGTTCAAACTTTGTTTTATTCAAATTTTGTTGGACAAAACATCGAAGTACATGTCTTATAGAACAGAAAAGGAAATTTAAACAAGTGTGGTGACAGTTATGTAAATGTTACATGCTTAATTATCAACTTTTCAACACTAGCTACAAGAATGAAGTAATATGTACAACACAACAATTACGGGTATAGGGGAGGGGGAAATGGATTGGTATGCAGTGGAAACCAGGAATGAATAACATATATGACACATATGACACATCAGATGGTAATATCATATTGCTATATTGCAATGAGTTTGTGGAACACGATTCTGTAAAATATAACTATGCTATAGTAGATGAAAATTTCAGCAATGCTGTAAATGGACACTCGATAAAGGTTAAAATGTATATACAAGTTACATAGCATTAATCACCACTAAATCAACTATTGACAAAATTAGTATGTCACAAAGCACCGCCATGATTATTAAAAACGTTGCAGTTCACATACTAGCCATCACACTTATCAAATATAAGTCCATAAAACACTTTCCCGCCTCGTCCCTGTCACGTCCTGCTCAAACTACCATAATCATGGCCAGTTAGCGACATAATATGGTATAAAGAAATACAATGGCAAAATCACTGAATAAGCATATAAATCCAAATACATTTTAAAACATAGTAGTAAAACGAATGCAACACAACATACACACATATATATATATATATATATGTCAAAATGAAATTGTTAAAGGACTATTCGTTTATTTGAAATATTTTAGTTTTGAGTATATAATTTTGGAAAACTGTCTAAGTGATGTATATTTATTACATTTTAGCAAACAATGTGTTGAGTTCTCAATGGCACAGCAGGAACAATTCGGGGATGGTATGATGTTTTTCGTAAACAAGTATTCTTTTAGGGAGCTACATGACATACGCAGTCTTGCGTGGTAGATTTGACCCAGTCGTGAACCCTGAAAGTAGTATGAAGGTGGACATGCTTTACTATAAGATTTCAGAAAGGCTTTTAAATTGGAAATGGAAGGGTTATTTCTAATATGTAATGGAAGAGAATTCCAATTGTTTACAGCAGATGGAAGTAATGCATTTAGATGAATATTTGTTTTACAAAGAATATGTGTCAGACATGATGGGTCAGAAAGTCTGGTATTATAACTATGAACATCACTTACTGAATTAGGTAAGAGATTATACAGATACTCTGGAGTATTTTGATAAAACATTTAATTGAATTGAAAACAGCGATGACAACCCTTTAGTCATTGCAACTGTTTCTCTCATGATATATTCCTCAGGTTTGTTTTTAAAACTGTCGCTTACCTGTAACATACATGCAGATATACCTTTCCTCCCTACCCTTGTACCGACTTACCTGTAATCAATATAGCAATCAAAGGTCAACACGACAGGCCGATGTGGTGGGACTATACATATGGCATTCAATAAAAGAATGAAAACATTAAACAGTTGATATGATTCATACAGGAAACAGTCTCTCTATATATACATATGTGTGTGTGTGTGTGTGTGTGTGTGTGTGTGTGTGCCAAGGATCGTTTCCGTTTGTTTGTATTTTCAACAACTTGCGGACCGAAAAACCACAGGATGTATTCACTGTCGAAAGAAAAGTCCAATCAATTTAGTATTGACTTTGATATAATTCCAACAGATCGTTTATGTTATTATGACAGAAACTTATGAAGAAATCCATCTTTGGGAAAATACTTTTACATTGGGATCTATAATGTACTGAAAATCCTATTTTTGATTAACTTTAAGGTGTCGTATCTAATTAAGTAACGTGGAGTTTTAGAAATTAAACTACAGCAAAACCTACAATACATGTTTGTCTAAAAGGTTATACTGCGTTAAATGCAATAAATAATATTAAAAAAAAAACTATCAATATGTTTAAAGCACATTGTTGAATTTAAAATTTAAGATAGGAGCTATTGTTGTCTTTTTAAAGAGATAAAACTGTTACTATATTTTAATCTTGGAAGCAATAGTGCTGTGAATACTTGATATGTGCATTAATAAGGTTGTTTTCACACATACACTATAGTAAACCTTCAAAGAAATTCAGTAGGGTTAATTTACACAGAAAAAGGCTTCAAACATTCTAATATTTTTTTCTCGGTGTGCATCACTTCATAGAGGTGACATTTCAGTTGTGATATTTTGACAAACGCATCCAAACTCAATGATGAAAACTTTTGGTCATGTCATTTTGACCTAACCGAAAAACCGCTTAACTATAAGTTGATATATCCTTCAATTAAGTTTTTTCATTAGCTCCGAATCAGTTCTGTTGGTCCTGTTTGAGCTCCGAATCAGTCCTGCTGGTCCTGTTTGAGCTCCAAATCAGTCCTGCTGGTCCTGTTTGAGCTCCAATTCAGTCCTGCTGGTCCTGTTTGAGCTCCAAAACAGTCCTGTTGGTCCTGTTTGAGCTCCAATTCAGTCCTGCTGGTCCTGTTTGAGCTCCAAATCAGTCCTGTTGGTCCTGTTTGAGCTGCAAATCAGTCCTGCTGGTCACGTTTGAGCTCCCAATCATTCCTGCTGGTCCTCGTTGAAGGTTGATTGTGCGTGTTTAAGCAACATTCGTTACTGTATGCGAATT